GGGTTGGGAAGTGCGGAAGGGTAGGGTGCACTCCGTCAAAAGTATACTTGTGCTTCGCAGCGCCCCAGTAGCCGCCTCCCATTAAACCTGTTCGAAGCAAAATTAGTCAAAAATCACCTCAAATCACCTTATTTTTGCGAGCCTACACCTTCACAATCATCGAGTACCCCTACTTCATCTTCGCGCCTTCATCGGCCCCACTCTTTCAAGAATCTTGGATACGCACTGCTCTTGAATCATAGGGTGTCTTAGCATTTGAATTTCGATAGTCATGACTTTAACAGTATGCGCTTTTTCACTATACGATCATTAGAGTAGATGCTGAGAAGAAACTAACTGCTTAAAAGCACATGTTAACGAACTTAACAAGGATAGAGGCATTGTTCATGACTTTGCTTTTTTTGTAGAAAGGTTATGCATGTATCAGGTACCATTGATTATTTCTACATATTATGAATGATACGTATAAGCCATACCGTACATTAGACAGAACTCTATAGCCATACTTAGAATGAGTGATCGATATATTTTTTATAGCTATGCCTCGATATAATGTTACGCATACAGCAACTGCTCTGGTATGATAACCGTGAGTTCGTGGGTTCGTTCTCATTGTATATTATCACCGTACTACAGCATATTTCGTGTTACCAAATCTTGCTTTTACTTCAATTAATTGATTAATAATAATGATAATAATATTAATGATAATAATATAGCGATTTATACCGCGCCTCTTGCCAAGGGATACAAGGTGTTGACGACGTTGTTATTATTAACCCTACCCCCCCCCCCCCCCCCCCCCCCCGTCATCGGAGGATCCATAATCAAAACTGGGGAGTATTCCTCGTCGTGCGTGGAGTTTAATGCCGATATATACTAATACTTGCAATGCCACATCATCCTACCAGGTACCCATTTATACTCCTGGTTGGAGAGAGAGCAAACGTAATGCCTTACCCAAGGACACAAGCAATGCGACGAGCGTCGGTCTCGAACTCCCGATCTCACGATCAGAAATCCAACAACTTACAAGTTGCACCACACAATCAATTTTTGTAATATAAATTCAATAGCGAAACTTAACACACTTCATCAAGTACAGGTCTCCATTTAATTAAAGACCCCTTCAATTAAAGACTACAGTACCTCCAATTAAAAGACCACTTTTCTATGGGCTCAATTTAACAAATGCCTTTACCTTTATTATTCTTTACCTTTATTATTCTTTACCTTTATTATTCTAATTAGAGACCAAAGCTGCTAAAGACCATGGAAACCCCGGTCCCGAAAATGGTCTTTAATTGGAGGGAGACCTGTATACTTAAAATATTCTTATCTGTTGATACCGTGTGCATTATTTTTCCTATAGTTATGATCACGTTTTAATAGACAGATATAAAACAATTGTTTACCCAATGAACAAGATTGACGTAAGCGGCGTTTCATGAATTTTGTACGATCAAAGTAAAATGTCTACAGCGCTTCTGCAGTTAATCTAATACGAAGTTAGTGTAATTGTAGATGATAAATTTCTAATCGAATTATGTCAGACTCTTATTCAAAGGATATAAATCTGTCAAAGAGTGATATTTTCATTCCAAGATTGGAAGAGTGTGTATTATCTTTCTAGGCTACTGGCAATTAGTTTGACCATCTGTAGTCAATGCTTAAGAGTCGTACTTAGTCGATTTTGATTATGCTAATGGCGATGAGGAGGAGGATGATGACGCCAAATAAATGCTTAAGCACAATAAAAATTGGAAATCAAAGTCTGCATGAGGACCGGGTTTTTTTTCGCTTGGATACTTTTTTGCCTAATTCTTGGTTCGTGTTTAACCATCACTCACTTTTGTATAATTCAAAACGGTGAAACCACTGGGCAAATTTTTTTAAGGTATCCAAATAATTAATAACTTAAAAAGTGGCCTTGTCGTATGTCATACAATTATTTTGGGATTTTCTTAAGGGAAAATATATTTTTGCCAATCGTGAGAAAAAAATGACCCTATGACGTCATCGGCCAATATAAATATTCTTGAAATAAACGATTAACATTTAATTACAAAATGTAATCACAATAGCGTGTAGGATTGTATTTAGGTTTATGTTAGCTTTATATTTTTATTCTATTTAGACAATTCCATATTTTTAAAAGTAGGACTTACTGTACATTATTCAATCGGGAGCTAGACTATCTGCTTGATGTACAATCGACCAAAGCTGTCGATTGGCTGAAACAAAATATTGCTTATGCTATGGTGCATGGACAATCTACTGCACCATTGATGTTCTTTACCCCGTACTTTCTATTCATGTGGCTGATGTAGCAAACCTGTTAGTGACAAACAAATTTGACTGAATTGGTAAGTTTTTCTTACTTTTACTTGTTTCCGGAACCAATTCCGAAGTAAAGACTATGCTATTCTTATAAGCCCCTCTTGAATGATATGATATATCTTGATTATGATGCAACTTTTAGTGGAAGGCTGGCCTATGATTGATCAAGTTTTGTTTTGAAATGAGTGAGTGTTTTAGAGGAAACTTCCTTATCAGGTAAAAGAAAAAAAAGAATAAATGTCTGCCACTGAACAAATCCCTCGAATTTTAATTGAAAAAATGTGTTCATTAATTCAAAAAAGAATCAATTGAAACATTGTCAAAACCATTTAAAATCTTAAAATTTTTCAGAATTTTGTTATTGTTTCACACTTCCTCTTAAACTTTGACAATTTGTATATTATAGCACAGATATTGCAAGACAGTTTATTGGAGCTTAGCTCTGTATCATATCACAATTTATAGTAAGAAAATGCACTTTTGATAATAGAGATATCTCTATTTAAAACTAAGATATCTCTATTAAAAACTAAGATATCTCTATTAAAAACTAAGATATCTCTATTAAAAACTATGATATCTCTATTTAAAACTAAGATATCTCTATTTATGATTAAATGACAACTCGGCTCACCATGCTCAAACAACTGACTGAAACGCACACACATAATGAAGCTGTGGTTAAGCTATAAAATAAAAAACCTTATAGGATATCGTGGAGTTCTAACGGACCAGGCACGCAGCTTTTCTACTGTTATTATTATTTATCTATATATCTATATGCTACAGTATATTTCTGATATGAGGGCGTATCAAATTGATCATTTCTATTTGCAGTGCGTCGATAACTACCTCAGTTCCTTCAGTCGTGTGCAATAGAGTGTGTATATTTTATTTTCAATTAAATTCAATTCCCAATTAAGCCAGTGTCCTAGATGGTTAAGTAATGAACAGCAAACGATAAATATTACAGCCAATCGTAAGAAAATTTAATCAGAAGAGGTTTTGTTTAATTGTAATTAAGTGTGTGTTCCGATATGTCGTGTTACGGTACGTTTACATTAACAATTGTTATAAGGGTATGTCTACTGTAATATCCTCAAACAAAAATGCGTGTAAAGTTCTTGCGGTGAAATTAAATATTTGACGTCAATTAAATCTTTCTCTTCCACAGAATATGGAAGAATATGCAATTACAGGCGTGTTGTCCTTTAAAGTAAACGAGACGATGGATGCTGATACAGAGAACAATGTATACCAAGAGAACCTTTACGATGCTCCTTGGTCTAATTTATCCCTCGATTCAAAACCTGATGATGACGATTCACTGATTCGCATTTATTTATCTGTCTTATTTTCATTCATTACTGTTGGATCTATATTAGGGAATGCTGTTCTTATTAGCGTTGTTGTTGTCACAAAACATTTACACAACCATCAAAATATTCTGGTTGCAAACTTATCTACTGCAGATATGATTGTGTCTTCAATGGTCATGCCATTTTCTATCCAATACTTTGTGACTGGTGTCTGGAAATGGGGCTCATTTTTCTGCGAAGTTTGGATTTTATTTGATGTATTAGCGTGCACAGCTTCCATTTTAACTCTTTGCACTATCGCGGGCGATAGATTTGTTTCGATTAGCAAGCCATTTTATTATGTTTCCAAGATTTCGAAACATCTAATTTTTAAGTTTATATTCTTCATCTGGCTAATATCCTTGTGCTTGGCAAGCATACCGATTGCTTTGAAAATTGATCGGCCTCAAAATTTTACACGACCAGAAAGGACGTGCGATCAGATTTTCAATCCGATTTTTTCAATCGTATCTTCAATTTGTTCTTTCTACTTGCCGCTTATCGTCATGTGTACGTTGTATTTCAAATTATATCGGGAAGCTAAACTTCAATCAAAGAGAATAAACGCAACGGTTGTAACGGCAGACGACCATTGCCCATCTGGGTGTCCAAATCAAGTGAAAAGGCGGGAAAATAAGGCAGCTGTCACGATCGGTATCATCGTTGGTTGTTTTGTTGTCTGCTGGACACCATATTTTATTGTAAATATTATATCACGGCTTCCCGGCGTCTACATTAGCCCAGACGCATATATGGGCTTCACTTGGCTAGGCTATTTCAACTCGGCTATAAACCCATATTTATATGTTGCTTTTACAAATGATATTAAAAGAACGATTGTTAAGTATTTTACACCTGAAGAAAAACGACGAAAAGCAATTGCGTTAAGGAACATGTGATACATCATGAATCTGAAGAAAGAGAACGAAAACGCAGAGCGAAAGAAACTTTCGAAATCCGAGTCATATCTCCTAAACCAGTAAACGACGTGCAACACGAAATTCAGGATATCGCTCGTCTTTTGTAAAATAAACACCCGTTCTGCAAAATTTTAAACGAAAAATTAATAACACATAGATTATAATATTGCAAATTTACTGACACGATAACTTGAATGTTCCAATATTTCTAAATGTATAAACCAAGATTTACAATTAGTAGCCTATTACCTTGATGGATTGAACGTAAAGCATGAAATAGCGACGTAAGCGCATGTTCTACAACATTCACGTACAAGTTTAGTGATAACCCCTAAGCAAACCTCTTATATATAAGAATCGCTACAATTTGTAGGAAACCCATTGCACCTTAAGACAAACATTGATACGATTTTATAATAGGCTTGCATTGTAACATTTTTGCACAAGTAAAGTTATAGGTAACCTTAAGGCCATAACTCGCAGCTGGTTCTGAATGGCATAGGCAGATGGCCAACTCTCTTTCACGGGATTCTATCAAGGTAATTCAACAAAAGGACGCACATCTCCGCTCTCGAACATAGCGCGTGCGTACAGTCCTTTGATCTTTACTGTGGCATCGACAATCCGATACTAGTTGCGAGTACAGCCGTCAATTATTAGTCTATGCGTGCCATTCGTTTTATGGTGTTAGTTTTTATTTTATTAATTTTGGGTACTTCGCAATGTCTGTTACATTTGATTTTTTTTTTTACCGCGAGCTTGTTAAATGCTTCTATAAACTGCAATTTGATTTGTGAAAATTGACCAAGAAAATGAAAAGTTATAGCAATTCAAAATTTACGAGTTTTATAAAATTTCATGTTCTTATGTAACATTAATCTGTCATTTTGACAATGTTGGCATAAGGTGCCGAGGACGAACATTTGAGTATATACGGAACATTTATTAATTTTTTCTGCGAAGTGAGTCTCATG